AAAAAAAAACAAAAAAAAACAAAAAAAGATAAAGAGGATGTCCCCCCCCCCCCCCGCCTTTTAAGTGAAATCTTAAGCAAAGTTTCTAATGATTCATAAGCATTTGGCACAGCAAATTAATGCCTGGGGATTTCTCACATCCCACTGGCTTCTAAGAAAACTGTAAAGACCTTTCATTAACTCAAGCTTTCCCCTATGCCATGCTGAAACATTCTCCAGTTCTCATTCATCTTCTGATTTTATTTTTTTTTGTAAGTGAAGAAAACTTCAGTGAAGTGCTTGTGAGTGGAATATCTTACTGCTATGCTTATTCATTTATGAGACAGACAAGAAATGTGTGGGAATGGGCTGTCTTTCAGTGTGCCCTCCTCTCTCCCACAAGCTACAGCCTGAGCTTCAATTACGTCCCACAGAAAGACTTTACAGCAGTGTTGTCCAAACTTGGCCACTTTAAGATGAGTGGACTTCAACTCCCAGAATTCCCCAGCCAGCATGGGTTTGGACAACACTTTTCAGATTGGCAAGGGTGGGAAGCTAGGAGAGTTTCCAAGTGATGGGAAGCTGTGTCAAAGAACACAGTACTAGCACTAATTACCCTCCGTCTCCTTCAGTCATAAAATCAACACCCAACACTATCCAGAGAAACATGAATGAAATGTAAATGAATGAAATGTGAAATTGTGATTCTCAAGCCCTGAGAATAAGGTAGAAAAGAAACCTCTTTCGGAAGGGAAGAACACTTTTAAGAAATTACCAGGTAGATTTCAGCATTCATCTCAACATTCCAGCCTGAGTTTGGGTTGGAAATGGAATTTGGAGGGTTTGTTTTTAACATCTGTTGGTACTGACTTAGTTTTTATTGGGTTTTCTTCTTGTTAAATTCCTTTTCTGCATTATGCCATAGGAAGGGATTGTCTTTAAGTATGGCTGAACAAGATTATTTTACATTTCTTTATTTATCTGTGAAATGTCTAGGCCCCTAGATAGAATGACTCTGGGCAGTTTCACAATTAAAAACGCATATAAAACAATATCATTTAAGAAAAGAACAGCAGTCACTCAGAAGGAGCAAATCAAGAAGAGCCCTTATGCTGTCCTTCAGCTTAAAGGGGTCTGAACACAAACTAACTCAAGGCCTGGGGGAAGAGCCAGGTTTGTAAGAGCCAGGTTTGTAAGAGTCCTTTAAAGGCAAGTGGAGTAGGGGCCATATGAATATCCAGGAGTGGGTGCAGCAACAGAAAAAGTTTGTTGCCTGGATCCTGCTAGGAGGACAGCCTAATCAAAGGTGCTCAAAGCAAGTTGACTCTGTTGGATCATATGGGATGGGCAGACACTACAGGAGACAGAGAAGGCAGGCAGGCAGGCAGGCAGGAACACAGGAAGGGAGGGAGGAAGGCAGGCAGGCAGGCAGGCAGGCAGGAAGGAAGGAAGGAAGGAAGGAAGGAAGGAAGGAAGG